ACACTGGGGGAGGAGGGCGAGCCCTCATGGCCGGCTAGACCTGGTGTGCAGGCTGGGCCCGGCCCTGGGGACACTGTTCATGTGTGCTCCTGGGAGTCCTGCCTGGACAGTGACACAGAAGCACAAGCACACGGCTCCCTGGCTCTTCTCCGGGAGTCTCAGCCCAGACGAGGCGTATGGGGTGCTGGGAAGTGGCCGATCACACTTGGTGACACAGGCCTCTCTGTCTCTAAAACCCCAAAGCCCGCACGTTTCAAAGGCCTTGCTGCTGCATACAGCAATGGTGAGAAAATGCCTGAGATGGTTGAATCTTCTTATAATGTTTTCCTCATTCCTCATTTTCACTTTTAGAGATAGGTCCTATCCACGTTGCCCAGCCTGGCCCTGAACGCCTAGGCTCCAGCGCTTCTCCGGCCTCAGCTTCCCCAGGTAGCTGACACTACAGTGTGGGAGCCGCCTCATCTCCCAATTTAAAACCATCTCCTGCAGCCACTCGCTTTGCGAACCCTCTCTTCTGGGGCATGGGGTAGACCCCGCGGTCCCAGGGTGGGGCTCCTGTCTCCCAGCCCTGAGCAGTGGACCTTCTGTCAGGACACTGGCGTGAGAGGTGGCAAGCATGCCCTGGCTCCAGCAGCAGGTCCAGAGAGGTCAAACAGAAATAGCAGATGCCTGTGACCCCGGGGGCAGACTGAACAAGCCCGCGGGGAGGCACACGGCACTGCCCTGCTCCCCGGACTGGTGCACCCGTCCTCCACGTTGGTGAGGGAAGCATGCAGAGGCCTCTGTCAGCCTGACCCTCCATGGCCGTCAGTGAAGACTAAGATGGCCTTGAGGAACTGTGTGAGCTGTTCGCACTGACGTGACAGTGTGGGGAGAGTCCTGGCCCAGGGTTGCGACAGTTACCACGTCCTCCCCAGGGCGGCATCTGTACCTGATCTGGTCTTCAGAGCACACTGGTCTGCAGGAATGGCTGCACTCATCTGGAAACCGCCTTTCCTCTCTTCTGCCTGCTCTCCGATGGGACACGTGCGTGTGTACCAAAGTGCTGTCTAAGGTGCCGTGCTGGGGCCTGGCAGAGGAAGGCCAAGTGACCAAGGCGGCTCTGCAAGAACCAGGCGGCGGGTCAGGGCTCTGGTCCCCGTCGCGACTGATGTCATGCACAATCAGGAAGCAAAGGGAAAGGGACAGCATCGTGAAGGACAGCGGGAACACTGTCAGAGGTACACTCGCTCCTCAGGGCCATTTACACAGCTCTGCAGAGGACACTGTCAGGAGAGGCTCGTGGCTCTGCACACCCACCCCTCACACTTGACTGTGGCCAGGATACCGAGAAACAGCCGCCACAAGGCCTGAAACCGGACAGCACAGCATAGGCTGAAAGAGCTGGGAGCAGAGCATCTGCCAGGAGGCCACGAACGGACGCAGGCAGCTGTCGCTTCCACTCACCTGTGCTGCCCTGAGGGCCCTAGAGCCCGCCTGAGCCGTGACTTCTGCAGCTACTGCCTGTGTTGCAGACTTGGTAACATGTAGTTCCTACACCCTGCTAGAGATTTGTTTTCTTAGGCTGGCCGAGCAGCCTCTGTGTAATCTTGTTTAGATTACTAATGTGGGAAATTCTTTGACCTCTAAAGGGAAAATCCTCTTCTGCTTTTAAGTGAAAGTCCAGTTTATTAACCAGAAATGTCTGCTTAGGACTGAGCCCTGGGTTAAACTCTTAGCACCACAAAAAACAAGTCCTATTAGCAGACGGAAGAGGAACAGAGTTATGCTGCCACTTTGCCTCCAGACTTTACCTTTGGACCTCACTGAATTGAACGAAAAGTACTACAGAAAGTTACATGAAAAAAATAAGAAATTATAAAGATAAATATGGAAGTTTATCTCAGTTGATTTGAAAGCATGGAGCTTAACTCTTGCTTCATTGCGATGGTCACAGACTTGGTCAAAAAACGATGGATAGCTAGACATTGGCTAACGTCCCCCAAAGAGGACACGTGGCAGGTGGCACTGCTCCTGAGGAGCTGGTCTGTGGACTTAGCTTTTTACTCCCAAGAGAGCATAGCTCTTGCGGTTGGCAACAATCAAGCCAAGGACCATGCTGGCCAGGAAGAGCCACCTCCCGGGTGGTGACTTCCGGGTGCTTTATCCATGTCCCTCTCCCAAAGTGACCCTGCAGCTCCAGAGAGGGACAAGTGTCCCTCATGCTCTGCCATGCCCTGGCGGGCACCGAGTCCCCAGCTTCCTGTACCTGCTGCGGCCAAGGGTGCGTGTGCAGAACCATGAGTTGATCCTGGTTTTGCGCTGTCAGAAGCAACAGCCCGCTCCAGGCGGCTGTGCCGTGACAGGCCCCACAGGCGACTGCTCCTCCTGTATTAACAAGTCTCCCCGGACTCATGTCTACCCACGTGGCCATCTGAGCCTAGGAAAACCCAAGTGGACGTTTGAAGTTTTAAAAAGCACAGGTCTAATTTTTTTCTTCCACAATGACAAGTTAGTTGTTTTGGAAGTCACCCATTTGCACAGCACTTCATTTGGAAACTGTCCTAACCGCTGGTGGCCGGATGGAGACAGCAGGAACAGGAGCGCCTCTGAAGTCCCCGGGGACCGCATCTATGAAGTCACCCTTCAAGCCACCCCTTGCTGAAGTTTACGGTGCTACACAGAAATGAGGGCACAGCTCGGCCTCCTCAGCGGCCACCATAGGAGGAGGACGTGCAGCTCAAAGCACAGACCGGACGCGAGCGCACCGTGCAGTTTGCTCACCCAGTGCTGCGTCTCCGCATGAAAACTCCTTGCTTCCTGGCCTATTCTGTCTCAAGCAGGGATTTGGAAGGTGGCTCTGCAGGGAAGAGGCCTGGAAGGGGTCCCAGGGATCCTGACCTCGATGTGTCCTGCGCTGGTGACCTTCCTAGTGTGCATTTCTCAGTGTGCGGCGCAGCCGCTCCCCGTGTCGGTGTCCACCTCCTGCTTTCCGCAAGCCTAGATACAGACTGTGAACCTGGAACAGAACTGGAAACAGCAACCCTTCGCTGCCCAGCAGTGTGGAACGGAGGAGGATTTGTTTTTTGGCAGGGGGGCTGGCTCAGGCTGCCTTAAGGGCAGGTCTAGCAAGGCCTGTGGAGCTGGGGATCCCACCGAGGTATCCTGCAGACGGCCCTCAGCAGTGTGGAATTGAGAAGAAAAACTTGTAAAGCTTCTGGTCTCTGCAAGCGAACTCTTACGATGCTGCATGAGGGTTGGGTGTGGCGCTCTGCTTGAGCTCTCACCTTGCATGCAGAAGGCCCCGGGTTTGATCCCCAGCACCACAAAAACAAACAAAAAAGCAAACAAACAAGCTGTGTGAAAACAGTGAATTCAAGTACAGCCTACAGATGGGGAGCACATGGAAAGGCTCAGGGCTCATGCAAGGTGGGGGGGGGGCACAGGGAGTGTGGGCAGGAAGGGCTCCTAGGGCCCCAAGCTGGGGACGGAAAGGAGCCTGCCTGAGGGATATCCGCTGCCTGTGCTCAGCTCCCACGGCCTCGGCCATGTCCCTGCTCGCAGGAGCCTTCCGGGTGAGACCAGCCCCTGCACTCTCCCCGTGCATGTTGAGAAAGCACCTGGACATGTGCACTGCCGGCCACTTGGTGCCGTACTTGCAGGGCCAACAGAGGCAGGGTGCGGTGCCCGAGTCCTGCTGCTGGGCGGGCCCAGCCCGGAGTTCATGAGACCCCAGCTGCAGCAGCAGGGACACTGATGCGGTTTGCAGGTGGCTGCCAGGCCACCTCCGTGTTGCTCCCTGTGAGGGGAACTCACAGGAACCTGCAGAGGAAGCACAAGAAACGTGTCCTGAGGACCAGCATCGCTCCGCCAGTGTCACAGCTGCCGAAAGCCCCGTGACCAGCCAGGTACTGTGCGAGCCGAGGACATGAGCAAGTGCTATGGCAGCTGCTCATACATCTGAAGGGACAGGCAGGGAAAAGCCAGCGAGGCTTTCTTCGGGCTTAGAGACCAGAACCAGGACAGCTGACAGACCTCTATCCTAGCGGGTAGTGCAGTTCCTGCCACTGCAGAGTGCAGGTCAAAGCTGGAAGCTGCTGGACAGGGGTGGGGTCTGGCACAGGTGGGTGGGAGTCACGGACCCCTGCACCCCCTTCCCAGCCGTGCCACCTAAAGGGTTCCCCAGATAGTTCGCAGTCACCCACTGCTCAACCTCCCTGGGGCAGGCGGAGGCAGAGGTGTCTGCTGCTCGCTGTGCTGCTTGAAGGTGGCGCCGCGCCGCTCGCGGGCGCTTGGTAACTCGAGCTTCTCGCAGGAGGGAGGGAGAGCCTCCAGGCAAGCTAAGGGCTCCCTACCCAGATGCCTCAGGCCCCGCACGCCGCCACAGGTCCCCACCGCCCGAGCGAGCCTGAAGCCCAGCGCTGTTCTGCGCGGGCTCCCTCGGTGCCGAGGCGCCTGGGTGAGGCCTGTAAATCCGGACCTGTAGGAAGGACACCAGTGCGGGTGCGCTCAGTCTGCATAAATAGGAGGCACCATAAAGGTGCACGGTGATTAATTTTTAAACTTGCTGCCTCACCCCCCCAAAGAACACCACACCGTAAAACCCTTCCTGTCTTAATGCGGATGTGATTTAGCTCTAGACCCCAGATGAAGTGGCCCTGTGGGGTGAGAGCAACTCCTACACGTGCTCTGGGAAGTCCTGTCTTAGTTACCACAGCTGAACCAAAATAAAGGTATCAAGGAAATATGAGAAGCGAAAATTCTAGGGGATTGAAAGGTCCACTGAATCCCTGCTGCAGAAGGGGAGAAAAAGACACACGGTATGAATGCAGAAAACCATCCCAGGAACTGTCCACTCCACTGACGGATACCCCGCTTAGGCTGGGGACGTGCCCACGGCAAGGGGGACCGGAAGCCCCTTCTCTGGACCAAGGCCGAGCCCACCAATCCCAGGTCCTGGGCTTCCTTTCCTGTGTCTGGAGTTCGCTCCCACTTAGAAGAACACGTGAGTGCTGTTCTGAGTTGAAGGCCATATTTATTAGAGTGTTTTTATTAACAAGCTCTCCCCAGCGAGCTCTGAGTGCATCAGGACAGCAGGCACGGTGGCGACGAGGCGTGGCGGCTGGCAGCCTATGGAGCTGCGCCTCTCTCTCACAGTACTGCGGCAGCTCTGCGGGCTGCCTGGGCCAGGCGCACGACGCGCCTCCCCCAGGAAACGGTTAAGTAGGAGTTCTGGTTCACTGTGGCTGAAATGTCCTGAGTCCCCAGCTGCACCAGCCTGGGACAGGCTCAGCTCAGCCCTCTCCTCGGCCCTATCATTCTGATGCTGTAGACCGGAGACTCTGCTTTTGGTCCTCCTGCTGCCCTCCCTGTGTCCCAAGTCCCTGTCTCCATGGAGTCCCCTTTGGTTATTCTCAGCATGGCAGTGTGCTGGCCGGTCACAGCCAAGGCCCCTGCAGGCCAGTGGTGACTGCCCCATGGCCTGGGGGTCAGAGTCTGGCCTGCCAGTTGCACCAGCCTTGCCACAGTGCTCGGGCACCTGCACACGTGGTGCCTGGTGGGGGCAGCAGTTCCGAGGCGGGGTGCTCTGCATTGTGGGTGGTTTCCCACATCCCTGCAGGCAGGGACAGTTGTGCGGGTGCAGGTGTGGGAGGTGATGCACAAAGCCCTCAGGGGCCTGCTGTGGGGCCTGCAGAGGCGCCACCCTGTTCTGGGTCTGCACAATGCCGCCTGCAGCAGGGGAACAGTGGCCACACGTGGTGTCACCCCCCTGCTGATAAGAGTGTGGGCTGCAAGTCAGGAGTCTGTAGGTGTGTGGGCAGCACCGCTGATTGAGGGAGAAGAAGGGGTGCGTACGGTGTGGCTCGGGGCAGGGTGGGAGCAGGGCAGTGCTTGAGTCTGCCCTGGAGCTCTGGCCCTGCTCCCCAGCACAGGCTGTGAGCCAGGGCACCCCCGAGCGCCCCGCCGGGCTACCAAGCAGCTCAGCACAGAGGTAGGTCTCCTCTGGCACAATCTTCTCTGAAGCATGGTTTTGGGATGCCAGTGGTTCCAACTCATAAAACTCCTGCTCCCCTTCTGGCTTCTGGTCCTGGGGCTCTAGATGGTAGGCATGCTCAGGACGGGCTTTGCTCTGGCCACCAGGCTCTGGGGACAGGGTGTGGGTAAAGGAACTGCACTGGAGCTTCCGAGGCAGTGGGATCTGCCCACAGGAGCCCTGTGGCCCAAGGCACCGGCACATGCACTGGAAGAAGAAGGTGGCAAAGGCCCAGCTGACACACATGACGAGCATCATGAAGGTGCCTAGCTGCGTGTAGGCCAGCACGGTCGATGGCATCATCATGGCCCCAGCAACGAAGGTGGTCAGGGCGGCCATGGCAATGGCTGAGCCCATGCGGCTCAGAGAGAAGGTCACTTTGCCCTCCCGGTCGGGGTCTGGAGCCAGGCGGTATGCAACCCCGTAGTGAACGGCAAAGTCTACGGACAACCCCACGGCCACTGAGATGGTGACAGACTCCAGGACGTTTAGCTCCCAGCCCAGCAGGACCAGGGAGCCCACGGTGACAAAGATGGTGCCAGCAATGGAGACAATGGCATAGAGACTGATGACTGCATTCCGTGTGGTCAGCAGCATCACACTGAAGGCCACTGCCACCGACAGCCCCATGGCTATGAGCGTGCCATCCGAGAGGCTGTCCTGGAGGTCATAGAACTCCAGGTTGCTCACAAACCAGCCATTGCCGAGGCCCTCGGGCGCAGAGCGCAGCTCCCGGGAGATCCACGCGTCTACCTCGCTGTAGAACTGGTGCATCTTCTCGTAGGCCAGAGTGAAGAGGTGGGCACTCTGGAACTCCAGCACCACGGCCCGGATGGTGTCATTCACGTCGAAGCGCGGTCCCGGGGTCCTGCTGTCCAGATGGTAGCCTGTGCTCCTCTCCAGCTCCATGATGGCCCTCTTGATGCACAGCTCGAAGACCTCCTGCTTGTAGGGGAAGCTCCAGTGGCTGCAGCATGGGTACAGGGCCGGCTCATCACAGTCCTGGTTCTCCATCCACTGCTTGAAGGTCTCAATGAAGCAGCTGGTGAAGTCCTGCTCGTCTGTCTGATGGAAGAAGGTCTGGTTCCTCAGCTTCTGACAGAAGTGCAGAATCCAGGCCTGGGATGCAGGGCTGGCGATGTTGAAGCTGCTGTCCAGCGTCAGCTTGCCCTTGCTCTTTGGGTTGAGTGGGTTGCCATTGTCCTCAGGGGACACGCCCCAGACCACAGTGATGGGCATGTGGAGCTCCTCGCCATGGTGCACACGCTCGAACATGAACTGCTTCTTGTACTCTGCATCGTAGCGCTCAAACGGGTGGGACGCGCGGAATACCTGGAACTCCGACAGCTCCAGTGAGGGCAGCTTCATCTTAGGGTTCACACACACGATGTAGGCCCCGCCCACCGTCAGTGCGAGGAACCACAGGAGCCACAGGTAGCGAAACTTAATGACAATGCACGGCAGCACCTTCTCAAAGAAAATCCGGGAGGTCTCGGAAATGGCCATGAGCAGTTGGTGGCACTTCTGGCAGGCCACCGTCCAGCAGCTCTTGTCATCGTACAGCGGCTGCTGGGGTTTCCGGAAGCAGCTGAAGCTGTTGAGCAGGTAGCGCTCGTGTAGCACCACCGCGGCCGGGAGCCATGTGACCATGAGGATGTAGTTCACCAGGATGGCCGTGCCTGCGTACACGCCGAAGCACCTGATGGCTGTGATCTTGCTGACGTAGTTGGCGTAGAAGGCGGCGGCGGTGGTGAAGCTGGTGACGAACATGGAGAGGGCAGCGTGCTGCAGGGCGGTGCTCACCGTCTCTGCGGTCTCGGCGTGAGGCTTGTCACACTTGGTGTAGGTCCACACGTCACACAGCACAAATGCATCGTCAGCTCCAATGCCAACCAGAATGATTAGTGCAGTGAGGTTCATGAAAGGGAAAAACTCGAAGCTAAAGACAACACGATAGAGGAAGTAGGAGACGATCAAGGAGCTGAGGATGGCGAACATTGTCATCAGCGTAATGAACATGGACCGGGTGTAGACACACATGACCAGCAGGACAATCCCGATGGCGATGGCTGGGTACACAGTGTCCATCAGTAGATAGTCCTGGAACAAGCTGTGCTTGATGCCGAACTCGATCCCAGTGACGGCTGTCACGCCATCCGAGGAGTTCCAGTTTTCAAAGTTGTCCAGGTAAATGTTCATCATGCTCTTACCCTTCTCTGTGGGCGAGAAGAGCATGCTGTGCTTGAGCGCCGGGGGGGCATGGCCAGCCGTCCTGGGGGCGATGAAGTCCTTGTCCACCAGGTAGTGCAGGATCTGGTACACGGCGTTGTGCTTGGTGCACCTGCGCGGCACACTGGTGCACTTGAGCTGGTCCTTCCTGCGGGCAGCCGCGTCCCAGCAGTCCGGCCCCAGTGTGCCGTTCTGGTAGTGCTTGGCACAGGTGCGGAGCAGCTTCAGGGTATGAGACACATCTCGCTCCACGATGTTCTGACAGGACGACCTGTTGTTCAGGATGGCGATGTAGTTCCCCAGTGTCCAGCTGGGGCAGCAGGAGGCGGCCGTGGTCCTCTGGCAGAGGTCGCCGAACTGGGGGTGGGATCTGATCTGGGGAAGACACGCAGGACGTGGTTAGACGCTGCGCGGGGGCGATGCCCCCTGCTTCAGAAGAGTGACAGAAAGCCAGTGACGATCTGACCTTGGACCCCAGGATCAGTCTACACACTGGTGAGAGTCCCCAAAGTGCTTCCTGCGGTGGGTTCTAAGTTGCTCTATTCTGGGCTACACACCACTACACGCCTGAACACCAGTGTGAAGTGGGGCAGCCGGCACAGGTCTGGAGGATAAAATTAACACATGCAGGCTTTTCAAGCCCTTATGTAAAGCAGCGTGGACAGCCTGCGAAGCCCGTGTAGACTCAGGGTTAAGAAAGCACATCAGAAACAAACCTGTGCCTTCCATTTGCTTGTTATCAGCAGGGACTTCTTGGTGCTGCAGGTTCATTACCTCAAGCAACACAGTGGAGGCCAGGACTGCCTCCCAGAAGACAGCTGTGGGCCGCATGTATGCTCCCAACACTCAGGCTAACCGCTAAGCCCCAGGCCAGGTCACCACGAGGCCAGCCCCTGGGGAGCGAGGGTGCCCTGAGTGAGCCCAGGAGCCTGACTGTCCTTTCACCATGCAGGACACACCGGAGCCCCCGCTGGGAGGAGCCGGGTCCAGACACCCCCGCAGGCCCCACCTCAGACTTGTCATTGCCCGAACTCAAGGGGCAAGTTCACCGGGTATAAATCCCAGCTGCAGCAGCTTGAACAAACTGAGGCAGAAACTGCCCCATGAATGAAACACCCAACCCAGCACTAGCCAAATCACTGGTGTCAAGAAGCACACAGATTTACACTGATTTTTTCCCCCTGAAATGTGGATAGAAAGTGGAAAGGTTTCTAAATTAAAACATCATTTTTAATCTAATTTTAAATGATGTTACCGCTAATAAGCAGGTGTTTCTTTAAATTCTTACAAAGGTTTTCAGGACGGCAGAAACCCGCTCCTGGAGCCCGCTGGTAATCTGGAGCAGAGGTGCAGGATGGAGGAGGACTGCACTCCACGGGAAGCCACTGCTGCTGAGCTAGCAGGCACCACTCTGGCTGCTGGGAAACAAAGTGCCCAGGCCCGGGAATCTGTGGAGGGCCGCGTGCTTCCTGGGCTGGCCCTCTCCAGACAGCCAGGCTTGCAGCATGTGGGTGCTACTGCAACCAAGAGGCTGGTGCCGTCCACACTGACTGCTGAGCTCCGACGGCTGCTGTCAACAGGCGGCGCCCGTGAGCCCCGGGGAACCATCGCCAGGTTCCACGGTGGCACTGGTCACAGCCTTTGCAGACTGCTCTGAGGACTCTCCCAGGGTAAGAAGCGAGGAGTGAGAAAAGCCGCCGTGCTCGGGCTCTTCTGACCCCCTGGAGCCAGGTCCCACATCCAGCCACGGAGGACCGGACCACAAGGAACTGTCTGTGTTTCCGAGAGGAAAGCTTTATGTTTTCATCTGCCCATGCACACAGCAGAGAAAATAGCCCTGGCCACCTCCACAAGATGACCAAACACAGTGATCCTCGCCCTCAAGCTGCTCAGGGGGTACAGGCAAGCCCCACGAAAACTGTGGCTGAGTGCGGCGGGCACAGCACGTGCAGGCCCTTACTGCCCCCACAGAGGGAGTGCGCAGCCAGAGTGGTGCTGACCCGTGCTCCAGAGGCTGAGGCAGAGGACTGCGGCTGAGTTCAAGTCCAGCCTGGACGACAGAGCAAAACTCTCTCTAAATAAAGGGAGGGCTGGGGAGATAGCTCAGCGGCATAAGC